TGAAAAATAAATGTTCTGTCAATAGTGTCTCTTCTTGCTCAGTAAGTATGACAACATATTGTCCTCTATGTGATAGAGCAATGTGATGTCTGTTAGAGAGAAAGGGCCATAAAGGTACCTACAAATTAAATTATGACATAGGGCTGGGGAGCTACTATAACTCTGAGGTAGAACAATTAGGGTGCTTTTCTGGCCTTACCAGTCAAAAGTAAACTTCTTCAGGTGGTCTTTAGAAACAGGTATGGAAAAAACACACTTGTCAAATAAACAGCTGAATACCAGGTACCAGGGGATGTGTTAATTTGCTCAAGCAATGAGACCACAACTGGTACAGCAGCTGCAATTAAAGCTGATGCCTGGTTAAGCTTGTAATAACCCACTGCCATTCTCCAAGATCCATCTGTTTCTTGCTCAGGCCAAAGATATGAGTTGAATAGAGATACGGTGAAAATCATTATCCTTTAAGTCCTTGATAATGGCACTAATATCTACACTATTTCTTTCAGGCATGTTGCTTTTAGTTTACTATTTTCCTAAGCAGAGGCATTTCTCATGGTTTTCATTTATCTTTTTCCAATATACAGCCCTCATTTCACAGCTCAGGAAATGAATGTGGGAATTGTGAAACTTGCTGAAATATCATTGCAACATGGTGTTGGGGGAAAACCATAGGATGGTCACTCAGCCTCCATTAGCTCCATCTCTGATTGTTGGATTACACTGATGTGTTGGGTCTCCCAGAACTAGTGTTAGATTGGAGTCTGTTCTCAATCATCCCTGAAAATTCTGATGATTTCCCTTTCCTCATTGCGGTCACCATGGCAAAAGGTGACAAGTTCCTTTGGAGTTGTTGAACAGTGTAAAATTTGGACAGTGTAGTAGTCTTCCTCAAAGGAATCATTAAGTCTAGAGTTTATGAGTATACAAACTGGTTCATCTAGGACTTGAGTGATCCTGTCTTTATTTGAAGAAAATGAATGCTTTAGAGATACACATATGGGTGTCAAGTTGACAAGCAGTGGGCTGTTATAGTTGATTTTATATGTCAACTTGGCAAGACCTAGAACCCTGTTTATAGACAAATACCAGTCTAGAAATTGCTGTGTATATTTGTTTAGACATGACTAGCTTATATATCAAATGACCTTGAGTAGGGCCCTCCCTGGTGGTGCAGCAGGTTACAGCACAGCACTATGAGGCCAGTGCACGTGACCCATATGGTGTGGCAGACCTTTCCTGACCCACAGCAGACCTTTCCTGACCCACATGCTGCTCTCCTCAGCAGTGTATTTCAGTATACATCTGTCTGTTCTGCTTCCTACTCTGTCTCTGGTGCACCTCTTTAATAAATAAATGAATAATTAAATATATTTTTTAAAGATTTATTTATTTGTGCATACAGAACTGGGGTACAGGCCAGAGGCTCAAGGGCGGCAAGAGGCTTCACCAGAGACAGAGTGGGGAGCAGAAAAGGCAGATTGATGAAGTACACTGCTGAGGAGAGAAGCGGGCAGGTCAGAAGAGGTCTGCCACGCCATGGGGTCACCTCCTGGGCAGGCGGGAATCGAACTCATGCGGAAGTGGCTTTAGCTTCTCAGTGCTGTGCTTTAACCCGCTGCGCCACCAGGGACGACCAATAAATCTTTTTTTTTTTTTTTAAAAGACCTTGAGTAAAGAAAATTATTCTCCAAATATGAGTGGACTTCACCCAGCCAGTGAAAACCTTAAGACAAAAAAACTGAGGAGCAAATAATTCTGCCTTCAGACTGCCTTTGTACTCAATTTTGCAATGTCTACTTTCTCCAGACCCTTGAAGATCTCAGACTTGCCAGCCCACAATCCTGTAAGCCAGTTCTTTAAAATTTTTAGATAGAAGATGATGATGATGATGATGATGATAAAGATGATAGATAGATAGATAGATAGATAGATAGATAGATAGATAGATAGATAGATAGATAGATAGGAAAGGAGGAAGGGAGATAGACAGAAATAGCAATATCCTATCAGTTTTGTTTCTCAAGAGACCTGTGATTTCAGTCATAGTCATTGGAGAAGTACAAATTAAAACCACAGTGAGACACAATTTGGATGACTATAATAATAATAAATAAAACGATGGGTAATAGCAAGTATATAGAAAAAATGGAACCCTCACACATTGGTTGTGAGAATGTTCAGCAGCCTTCAAAAACAATTTGGCAGTTCCTTAAAAAGGTTAAAAATAAATTACTATATGGCCTAGCAATTTCACTCTTAGTTATATACTCAAAAGCAATGACATCATTTCTCTCCACCTCCACCCCCCTAAAAAAAAACTGCACATGCACATTCATAGCAATGTTATTCATAATAACCAAACTGTCAGAACAATCTGAGTGCCCAATAAAATATGGTATCTCCATACAATGAAGTATATGAAAAATACTAATACATATAACATACAGATGATCTTAATAATTTTGTGCTAAGTAAAAGAAACTAGTCACAAAAGACTACATAATTTAGGATTCAGACTCTTTACATAAGTAGAATTCTAAAATATTAGATTGGCTATTGCCTAGTGCTGGATATTCTGTATGTCTTGATTGGGGTAGTGGATCCATGACTATATATGTTTATCAAAAACTGTAAAACTCAGTACAAAAAATCATGTGAATTTTATACTATGTAAATTATACCTCAGTAAATCTGAGTTCCTAGTACTATACTATACTATATACTTTCACCTTTATTACTAAAGATTTATGCCAGAAAATTTTAAGATGTGCAGATAAAGTTATATTCACAATATTTACTACATTATTTATAACAAAAAGGAAACAAATTAAATGTTCAACAATAGAGAAATGGTGAAATAAATTAGAAATATTTTGTAGCCACTACAAATAATCTTGGGGCCTCCCTGGTGGCACAAGGGGTTAAAGCACAGCACTGAGAAGGTATCCACACTCACTATGGCACAAGGTCAGTCCCTGGCTGGGGAGGGGCCCACACAGTATCTCCTGTCTCACCTGCTGACACTGGCTATTAAAATTGGGTTTCCCCTTTGGGGAAGGAATGACTGAAAGATAAAGAGTATAAAATTTGGTCAGCGTAGTAAAGCCTTACTCAAAGGGATCCTTCAGTTTAGAGCTTATGACTCTACAAG